GTGTGGAACGCCTGCATCCCACTTCTCCCCTAGCCACTTGGTCACGCCAATTTGCAAATTAACTGCCATCTTTGTTGCGTTAATTTGCATACTCTCCTGATTGGCTGGTGAGCCTAGCAGAGGGACGGTCAATTTACATGTTTGTCTATTATTAGGTAAGATGCCATTTAACAAGAAAAAGCAACCAAAAAAATGAGTTGGTGTGTCACTTCTGACACAGGTGTCATAGGTTCGCCATCACTGCCTTATTCCTTAGCTCTCTGAAAACAGACTTTTGTTGTGAGAAGATTAATACTCTTTCTGCTTAACAAAAGTCTTAGGGCTATTAATGTCTGATTCACCTGTTTCTATCCATATGCACCAAATCTACCCTCAATATTGTTACTAGGTAAGGAGACCCAAGATGAATGTGACCTATTACCCCCCTGATTAAAACACTTCAATGGCTGGGCATTCCCTGTAATCAATATCCAATTCATTTGTCTAATTCTTCCTAATATGGACAATGTTTATTTTACCAATCTTATTTATGAATGTATCACCTTGTACTCTACAGTTAACAGCAAATTATTTTCAGTTTGCTAATTCATTATATTCATTCTATAGGCATTTATTGAGCATAAACTGTACATTAGCCATAGTGCTAAACTTAGGGAATCCTGAAGTGAACATGGTAAATATGGCCTACCTTCATAGAATATACAGCTAAGTTTTAAAAGAGTTTATACTGATGTTTACAGATCCCTCCTGCCTCCCAAATGCCTGGTGAACACTACTTAATTTTTAGAGGTCACTTCAAGGCTCAACTCTTCCACAAAATCCCACCTGACTAACGTGACCACCCCCAGTGCACATTAAACACACTGTCCAGCTTATTTAGCTCTTTATTATAACAGCTTATTTACCAGACTACCTCCTCACCAAAATGATGTACAAGCATGACCAGCTCTTACTCATCTTTGAAATAAATGAGAGAACACAGAAATAGAGACTATGATGACCAAGGCCTAGCACACAGAAACACTTAAAATAAATACCTGTCTAGAAATGAGAAACTTAAGAAATTATTTATTCTTACAAAAAAATGTTTTCCTTTTCCAGTTTCTTCATGTCATTCTCTAAATGTGCCTTAAAGTCGAGGACCATATATCACTAAGTATTTGTTGAATATATTCTCTAGATCTACAATTCACAACTACTAGACCACAGGAAGGATGTCACAATACAGCACTTGAGAAAACAGAAACCAACACAAATCAGATTGACAAGGTCAGAAGAAAATGTATGGTATAAAATCCATTTTCTCAATGTATAATTTGAGTCGTAAAGTGTAGTCACTGAATACATACGCAGAAAAAGAATCACAAAATCTTAGAATTGTTCATTATCATAGCCAAGACATTGTAGATGTAGACAATGTAAAAAAAATCCAAATTTAGAAAATGTTGTTGGTTCCCAGATAATAATAATGATAATGTCAATAATAATAAGAGCAACTATATAATGTTTTCTACTAGCGAGGCACTGTTAACTCATCTAATTCTCATATCAACCCTTTGAGATAGCCCCCATTATATCAATAAGCAAAAATGAGGTACAGACAGGCAAAGTAATTTGCCCAAGATCATTCAGCTAATAAATGGTAGAAATGGATTTCAACCCAAGAAATCTGATTCCAGAGTTTTCGCTATTAACCACAATCATATTCTGATTCTTTATTATTGTACAATATTAAAAGGCCATAAAGACTCTGTAAAAACAAATGCCTTCCTAAACATATGTAGTCTTTAACTTCTTTTCAGTAATACCTTTTATAATTGAAGTTTAAAACACATTATTTATAATGTGAATCTATGTAAAAAGAACAATGGAAGTTACAGAAGGATCGGGGAAAAAGCCTGCTTGTTTTGCAATGCAGAATGAAATATATAAATGCTACTGGTCATGGTGTAACACTACCCAAAAAGTTCAAGAACTACAAGGAAGGAGTTCTGTCAACTGTTATCTCTCAATCAACTGGATCAGGCATGAATATCAACAAGCATATCATAAGTAATTAGGTGGGAAACTCCACCTAAAGCATTGGTGCCATGCAAAAGGCTCCCTAGAAAGCATTGAAATGTTCTAAATTGTATGCCAGCCAGCAGAGGTCACAGCTTTAGTAGTATCTGTAAAAACTCTTTAAAATAATTCTTATCTATCAGTACTTCATCCCAAAGAATACAGAACAAAGCATGGGTTCAAACTATGACTCTGAAATGTTCATTGGTAGAAAAATCAGGGGTTAGAAATAGAATTATAACCTATTATCAAATAACTAAACATACCATAAAGAGCCTTTGCACTTGTTTTTGAACTTTGTTCTCTGTCCATCTGGGAAAAGGTGGGTGGTGATCCGTAGCCACTGTAATAAAAAAAATGGTCATTGTGCTGGGTTAAAGTCCAAAGTCAGTCATAAAAATTCAAAAATGTCAATAAAAATTCCAATGCACCATCATCACCATGTGCTTTAAACAAACATACTGAACTTATGCTACGTAGTTTTGCCAAAATGAGGTGGATCCTGTTCTGGTAAGTGGTCAGGAAATAGAAACTGGTGCAAATCACGCCTCCTCTCAAATGCCAAGGTGGAACTGTAGCCAAGAAGATTCACCAAGGTTGAAAGTTCTTAGAAGAGTTTAAGTTTGCCATACTGAGCAGTAATCCAGTTATAAAAAGCTCTCAATGATTCCAGATGTAATGGACTATTCCCTATTTTCACAAATACTTAAATGCAATTAACCAAAATAACACTTTATCATTAAATTTGATCAGCTTTATCTTAAAACTAGCCTCCTCCTCCTCCTCCTAATACATTACATGAAGCATTAATAATATATTATTCAAATTGTTTATTTTTTTCCATTTATTCAGTCCTAAACTAGAAGAATAAGTGGCATAGGGGTTAGGAGAACAGGTTACTGTTAGTGAAACAAGTAAAATAGTTACAATAGAATGTAATATCTGGGTAAAACTAATAGCGAACACATGTCGGATCACAGAAAGGCTAACATTTTTATCAGGATGCCCAAGAATTTACAGCCAAATTGACATTAAAGCAGAGTCTAAAATAATGGCAAGAAGGTCTTCACACAAGGGAGAACTGAGTGAGGAAAAGGCGCCGGAACTGGCTCAAGAACAAGCATGGTGTCTGAGGGAAAATGCATCTCATGTGATGTGCCTCGTCAGACGAGTGGCTCAAGGAGTAAAGAAGGCAAGTAGAGGGCTTAATAATTAAATTTTTACTTCTGTGTATAGTAAATATGTTTACACAAGGAAGTGACATGATCCAATTTTTTTAAGACAAATTCAGAAGCTAATGGCAAGGTGACAGGATAGAAAGATGCAGTGAAAATTCAGGTAGGAGATAATGAGCATAAATAGGGCTAACACAGAAAGAAGAAAGGGATAGAAACAAGGGTCCTTTAATAGAAGAAATTATTATAAATTCATGATTAAGTGGATACTCATTGTAAGAAAACAGAAAAAAAAAATCAAGGGTGTGGCCAAGCTTTCCCTGATGTACAAGAAAAGGTGGTACCTGACATAGCCCTCCTGTCCTGTATGGGCTATTTCTTACTGGTCAAAAGTAAAGAGATTTGCAATAATCTTTATAGAAAGAAAGGGGGAAGCATAACTCTTTACAATGTGAATAATCCGGTTTTGAAAAATGATGAGCAAACTATATAACACAATGGTCAATATAAAATAACAATATTAACCACAATATGTAAGGCAATGGCTACTTAAGTCAGGGTGGTGATCTCAAGTTGTACCTAGAGCCACAGGGATTGTTTTGTCTGTCTGATCTATTCTTTTTTTGTTTGTTTTACACAATGGTTAATATCTTTGTAGACTGAACTAGATGACATTTAAATCTCCTCAAATGCCAATATCTTATGAAGAACATTAATAAATTTCTCCAGAGAAACTGAAAGCTCTGAAGGAGAGTATATACTCAGCCATAGGAAGTAATAAAATTTAAAATACTAGAACAAAACATCTTATATTTTGTTATAATACCCCTGGAGTTGATATTACTTAAGCATCTTTTCAAATTATCAGAAACAGCAAACATGATAACATATGTTAGTGTCACAAAGACATTATATATTAAGGAAGAATGAACTACAAAATAAAATTAATATTTTCATTAAAAAGATAAAACAAACCAAATAACATTTTTTAAAAAACAACAAATTAAATATAAACCTCCCAACTTACTTCATTTGAGGTGCATACATTCCAAAACCACCGGGATGATTAGAAATATGACCATTCATTGTGGCTTTCAATCATGTGTTCTACAAAATGAAAGGTACAAAGACTGAAGGCAATAAAAGGATCATGACACCTCAGTTTCAAAGTTATCCATTTAACAAATATCTGTCATTGCCAAGGTGATGCTGGAGATATAAACACAAATATCTCCACCCTCAAGGAGCTCAGGCACAAGAAGTACGAATGGACACATAAAGATCCTATTAACATTGAACATTAATAAACTAAAATTCTTAGGAAATTTAGAGGCAAGTAAAAAAAATCACACTCATAATCAACTGTCAGCTTCATGAAATTATACCATTTATTGTTTTATTATAAACTAGTATAGATTAATTCAATTTAAAAACTTGAGAAATAGAAGAGAATAAAATACATAAAAGTGCAAAGGGGAAAAATATCCCCGAGTCCTAGCAGGTAAAGATAATCATTTCACAATCCCATCAATTTCCTTCCACTCTTTTCCCTGCATCTAATTTTCTTTTCTTCATCCCTCCCTCCTTCTCTTCCTTCCTCCATAGCACACTGGACAATATCTTACACATACACGCTTGAATACATCTTTTTTACAAGATGTGTTCATTTAAACATTCCTTTTACTTTTCACAAGAAAGCAATTTTAAAAATTAATGCCAGATTATTTAACTTCAGAAATAATTTTTTAATCTGTTTCACAAATTGAACAAATTTTCTTCAAACAAGATGAATAAGTAAAACTTCCTTACTGCCAAATCCAATGGCCTTTACTTTTTTTCTCTGAGACAATCCTGCTACCCCTGATTTATTTCGATTCACTCCTGGATACACTGGTATTCCCTGCGTTCGGTGGCACTAAACCATTTTAGACATTGTCTTATTTTCCTCACTTTCATATATAAGGTAGGACAAAAGAAGGTTTACAGTGTGAGTACACAAAACACAAAGCTTATTCTTGTATTATTATTTAGTAATTATTGTATTATTTTCCATATGAATAACTGTAAACCTACTTTTGCCACATCCTTTTACTATGCCTTCTTGATAAAGGAGAGGTAGGTAAGACATATCCCAGCTTTCTTATAAGACACTGGCAAAGGGAGTAGGAGCATTAACAACTACCAGTGACTACTATGTGCCAGGTACTAGCAAGGTAAACAGAACAGACATAGTCCCAGCTTTGTGCCAATGTGCCATGGTCGGCAAACCATGGCTTTCGAGCCACATGCAGCTCTTTGGCCCCTTGAGTGTGGCTCTTCCACAAAATACCACGTGCGGGCGCACGTACAGTGCTATTGAAACTTCATGGCCCATGCGCAGAAGTCGGTATTTTGTGGAAGAGCCACACTCAAGGGGCCAAAGAGTCACATGTGGCTCTCGAGCCGCGGTTTGCCGAGCTTCAGTCTGCCGACCACTGGTCTAGTGGAAAAAAACAGACACTTAGTGAATAAATATAAAATTTAAAATGTTGTTAAAAGGGAAAATTCAGAATGATATACAGGCCATATAATTAGGGAACTTGATTCAGATTGTAAAGGCATAATAAGTCTATGGGTGAGAAGAGATTAACAGGGGAATTTATATGTATACTAGAGGGCTGATCACAAAATTCATGCAAGAGTAGGCCTTCCTTCCCCTGGCTGCCGGCACCGGCTTCCCTTGCAGCCTGGCTCCGTCCAGAAGGTCATCAGAAGGACATCCAGTCTAATTAGCATATTATGCTTTTATTATTATAGATATGCATAACCCATGGACAATAGTGTGGTGAAGGCATGGAGTGAGGGTGGGTGGGGCTAGAAGGGGTCAATGGGGGGAAAAAGAGGGATATCTTTCAACAAAGATAAACTTTTTAAATATTAGTATAAATTTTGAATAACATTTGTATTCATATATTAAAAAAACTAGTAACTTCAAATTAATTCTTTCTTGCTCTTCAGATGCTGCTTCAATCAGTGTCCTCAGGGAAGCTTTTACTGACCTCTATGAATAGATGAAAACCCACCATCAGTCACTCTCTACACTATAAACAAGTTTGCCAAGTACTTACCAGAATGATATTTTTCATTTGTTTAAATTAACTCCTGACTCTCCACTAGAGTATAAAATCCATAAAGGCATACACTTTTGTTTGATAGCTGGTGTTTCCTAAGCAGTAAAGGATAGCAGCAAGTATAAAATAGGTGTTCATTAAATAGTTATTCAAAGAAAGAAAGAAGGAAAATCCATGTCTCACTCTTCAGAGTTTATTGTGTTCTTAAGGAGATACATTAATCCATATGAAACACATAGTAAAGAAGTCTCCATGTATGTGGCTCTATGTGAAACCCAGGTTCAGAAGAAGGAAAAGTCATACCAACTGCATAATTTTTTCGAGGGCTGGAACTTGACCTAGATCTTAAAAACTGGTTAGGATTTATAAACACTCAAGTTTAGTTCAAGCTCTTTTGATAGTCTTGCCCATATTTATTTGCAGCGTAGAAGCAAATTTCTAAATTAAGGAACAAAGAAATACTGACCTCTATCCTAGATAAGTACTGCATTTATAAAATTATATTTATATTAAATTGATCTATTCTGTTTTTCTTGTTTCCTTCAATTCATACTTCGATACAGAGATATACAGGTAAGCCATTTCTCAGGGGGGAAAATGAAACCCTGATTTGTAGTGCTTGCTAATTTCTATAGTATTAATATTCACACTGTGGCCCATTTCAAGCTACTAATGGTTTAACATCAGTTTACCAAACTCCTAAATGTTTTACAATTGGAACTCATAAGCCTAGAGAGTCCAGGTGGAGCACATCATTCCAGAAGTCTGGCCAGGACAGAGGACGGGAATAACACTATGAAATTAGAAACAGCAAACATATCCTCCATAGCACAGTTGAAAGGCTAAAACTCTGGCACAAACTAGTCTACCCAAGTCAATTAAACCTCTGTACCAATTTTCTCATCAGTAAAATAGAGATAATTCCCAGTCTTCCTAGCTCACAGGACTAGTGAAACATCAAATGAGACAGATGCATGTGCAAGTTTAACTTCCAAAGTTAAAAATAAGAAGTACTCTTTCAAAATAAGCTGGTTCATTCAGAATTAAACCCCCAGGGTTTGTACTGATTTTGATCTGGTCTGCATTTTAAAACCACAGCGGCTGGCTTTAATGAAAAGTGATAGCCACAGAAACTCATCTTTTTCATGTTTAATTCTTCATGACAGTCAAATAATACATGGTTTGTGTTTTGTTTTGTTTTTTAAATAGTGATGTCAGAATAAGAGAGCATTAGAAAAGAGAACAAAATGTTGATTTGCTAAACTGAATTTTAAATACATACAAACTGTCGTCATTTAGCAATCATAGTTTCACCCGTCACAATGTTCATATAGCAATATAGAGGTTTTCAAATATTTAAATATAGCAATTACAACACACACCTTGCAAAGAAAACAATTACAAATGTTTGTTTTCCTTTAGGCCTTAAGAAGACATCCAATTTATACCTATATGAATCATATATAGGAGAACCATCAACTCTTACTGAAAAGTAAGGTGTTTTATTTTTTTTCTTTTTATTTTTTTAAAGTAAGTTGTTTTAATTTTTATTAGCTGTTAAAACAACTTAAAAGCCAAGGAGAGAAAATTTTTCTTTATCACAACAAGGTTAAGGACTCCACTCAATTAACTCTACTAAACTATCTACTTAATTCTGCTAAAAGTGTACATTAAAACTGTCATAAGAGCTTCTAAGAGATTTGAAATAGAGCATCGATTTCCTTATGAAAACACCTTTTATAAGTCATAGTTACTATAATTTTCCTCTTCTACAGAAAATAATATTATTTGGCAATTGCAAGGATAAAAATAAAACAATTTAATATCTAAGTTAAAGCACAACAAAAATGTTAAACACTGAAATTTTAAAAGGAAACAGAATGTACAAAAATCACTGAAGAAGAAATAAAGAAGGCTATAGTAAGCTAAAACAGCAAGTTAAATCTGTATTAGAAAGTTTTAAGACCCAGATAGATAGGTAGGTAGGTAGATAGATGATAGATAATAGATAGATGATAGATGATAGATAGATAGATAGATAGATAGATAGATAGATAGATAGATAGATAGATAGAATTGACTCCCCTTTCTTTACTCCTGCTTGCATCTGATATCAATTTTCAAACTGATGAGTATGTAGTCGTGACTCGATGTTAGAACACCACCTGCCCAATCTGGCTAACACACAACTAGTAGCTCTTTGTATATTAAGCTGTCCTTAAAAATAATTTGTTCCCTGAGAAAATGTCACAGACATTTTTGTTTATTTAAGGTTTTATTTACTTGTTTGTTTGGCTTTGACAAAGTATCTTGAAGTATATATATTTCTATTTCAATTTAATGTATGTTTCTTGATCTAAGTTAAAACAAGATGGGGGTGATTATCATTATTTAAGACTTTAACTAAAAGACCATTGAGATTCATTTTTTAAGCAATACATTGTGATATTGTCTACTAATGATTGTGCTTAAAAAATAAAAGCACAACCAATTTGCTTTAAACCTTCTGAATCATTACACAGTGTCTCCTACGGGGTCTTCTAGAATGACTACTTTTCAATAACTCTTACCAATATTGTTAGTAAGAGATGTTACCACCTACTTCCCTCTGTCATTTGGCCTAATACTTAAAAATAACGAACTTTTGTATATGAATAGACTTGGAAAACTAATATAACAGTAATAATATAATTATTACTGCTATAATAGTAATAATAATAAAAATGATAATAGTGGCAAACACTTGTGAAGGTATTGCAATAAGTTCTAGGCTATATAGAAACAATATTTTCTCAAGGCCAATATAAATGTAGGGAGAATAATTTCATGTCTTTAAATCAATACACTGTAATCACTTAAAAACAATTATCTAGGTTCCTCTTTTTTATAATTATGAGAAAATTCTTAGGTTGTTTGTAAGTTGGAACGTAATTTGGCAGAGAATCTATGTTCAAACCAGAATGTTGGTTTAAAGAAGAATACTCATTTTTAAAATTC